TTATTCAGGTGTTCACTGGCATACTTTAGACTTTAAACACAATGTGTTACCAATGGTTCTTTATTCATTAACAAGCTCCCCCCATGTAGTTCTGGGGTTACCCCCCCACTGTTCTTAAGATGACTGACACCGCATGACATAACATCTTCCTTGGGGCCCCAGACCGAGGGTGATTGACAGTTTATTTAGTCTCTTACATTTGTGAATAATTGCACCAACAGTTGTCACTTTCTCACCAAGCTGCCTGCTGATGGTCTTGTAGTCCATTCCACCTTTGAAGGTCAACAATCTTGTCTCTGATGTCCTTAGACAGCTCTACATATTTCCCATGGTGACAAGGTTGAAGATGTAGAGGTTAGTGACTCAAGAATACTATTTAAAAGTGATGCCATTAAATGAGAATGCTAGCTTGTTAATACTTAAGTACTATTGGTGTTGTATTACTGCACATGTACAAATAATTATTTCCCTAGATAAATGACAAATTGATTTGTACCTGTTACATAATGATTTTCCTTGTTAAACCTACCATTGAAATTATAGACTTCTCATTTCTCTACAAATGGGTCAACTTAGAATTCAACAGGGGGTCCAATAATTATTTCCCTCACTGTAACTAGATCTCCACTGAAGTACAAGTAGGCTTGGCGTAGTTTATACTCTTAACCATGATGCTTTTTAGCTGCTAATGGTTTTTTTCAGTTGGCTGGGATTCATTGATTTATTTGCAGCTTCCACAGGGAATCGGATTAAATGTGATCTCAATCAGACCACCAAGGTACTTCAGCATAGCACCTTCCACACCATGGTGACGAGAACCCCCTCCCACCCCATGCAATTAACTTAACAGCTCATTAATTTCAGCCTCTAGCGTGTGTGTGTGTGAGCGGGTTTACCTATCCTTATGGGGACATAATGTCCCATAACGTGATAAATATCCGTAAAACTCTATTTTATGAAAATCGGTGACTGCTATGAAAAAAACGTTAAAATTTTTTTAAAAATGTGTGTGTGTGTGTGTGTGTGTGTGTGTGTGAGATGAGAGTTCTCATTGTGTGTCCTTTTTTATTCTGCTTTAACAAGGCCACCGGTGGGGGGGAACTTGCACTCAGAGACAGCAGTGTCCCCCCACTTTGCCTCTCACCATCTATAACAGCGGTGCACACTGGCTGCAGTGAGCGTCTCCCTGCCATCTCTGGCCCCAAGGCGGCCCTTGCCTCGTTCAGCCACGTCTTGCGGAGCGTGTTTGCCTCTCCTGGCTCGCACATCCTGGGGGCTGCTTGGCAGACACGCGCCGCAGCCCCTCTGTCCAAAACTGCTGCCAGTGATGCCCCCCCCCCCCCGGAATTCATTTCAACAGAAACAAAACTTTAGCAGGGATTTCAGGGCCGTCTAATGAGACGGAACATGCAAGATGGCTGAAAATAACTGTCGAGATTAACCTCATGTAATCCAATTTAAAGGTGCCTCCTCAAATATTCTATATTTAAACGTTGCCTGTAGTATGTTTATTTTGTGGGGGCAGGGGGCCCAACCACTATGTGGGGGGGGGGGGAGAAATGAGGTTGGAGGATAAGCTCATGGGATGGAAGCACAGATGGATCCAGGCATTTTTCTCAAACACATTAACAGTTAGGGTTTTGTTTGCATGTCTGAATTTGTGGGCAAGTTCCATGTTAATACTTTTGCAAGATCAGGTCCTTATTTTGTCTGCAAGTTGTCAGTCTGGTTTAAGTGAAAATGGAAAATCTAAAATTAACATCCTCAATTTGAGCTAGAACCTGATTGGAGACTATTGTAATCTGCTTTAACAAAGCACATGTTGGCACCTTCATACCAATCAATGCTATGCAAGCTAACAAAGTCTACAAACATCGCAGAACCTTCTAAAATGGAAATGCAAGGTAAAATGCATGCCAAGGCATTGGCTGGGCTAGCTTAGCAGCATGCTAGCCTGGAGCCACTAAAATTGCCTTACTGCTGTTGCTATGGGATTCCAGTGTCAGGTCAGTTACACAATTCACTTAAGGCTCCTTCAGCTCAGAGGCTAAATGACTTTCAACGAGCAAAAGTAGAACTTGACTTTCTCTTGAAGGTTTGCTGCCCCCTCTTGTTTGTTCTGGTGTTCTGCAGATAAGTTTGTCTTGGCTCCACATTTGAGTTGTATTTTCTGTTGAATGATTTTCCAGTATTGTGATGTTGGTTTTAAAATGCAGAATGCTCAATTTCAGTTGTCAAACTTTTGTTTGGAGGGAGAGTGTTGATTTGAGAGTTGTGGGTATTGCATTGTATATCTTTGGTTTGAACCTCTCAAGATGGATCTCTCTCATACCTGTTCTGCTGTGACTGATTCTTCCTGCGCTGCCCACGAACTCTTTGCTCTGACTTCGATTTCTCTCTACTTGTCAATACTTTGTCCATCGTGCCTCCAGCAGTGTCCCTACATGTGGCTTCTGCTTTCCAGCTGCACCATCCTACTGTCCTGGCACAGATTGTGCCAGATGAGGTCTGGGGGATTAGAACAGATTTTCCTTGTTTATTAAATCAAACAATCTCAGTGAAACGGTGCTGCAGGTTAAACCTGGCAGAACAAGTGTAGAGAGCCAAGAACACGGCATGTCTAACCATTTTACCCTCCCTCAAGGGCAGGCAGGGCCTCCCTCACAGCAAATGGGAAAACCCGACCCCCTCAGCCTGCCTGAACACAGATGGAGGAATGGCACTATGAAGATTATAGTGCTGGAAAGATTAGCAGGGGACAACTAAGCACACGGAAGTGGAAGCAATGTCGTCATCTTGCAATCACTGCAGTAGGGACTTGATCCTGTCCCCCCCCCCCCCCCCATCAGTCTCATTTGATCATTCAGAAGGAAAAGCAGGACGTGACTTTAAGACATGGGGATGTTCACCAGCTGAGTGAATGCATGCTAATTTCACGAGTATGAGATGGAGCTGAAGGATTTGTGGAGCGGGACTTGAAACATTCCCTGCAGTGATCGAGAAAGCATCACCACTTAAAGGCCATGTGACCTGGCCCCATTTTAAGCCCAAAATGAGAAGCTTCTCCCACAATCATATTTGCTGAGCAGGGAGTCCAAAATCTATACGGAAATCCAGGACAAATCGATAAATGGGTTTACAAAAATGTCCGAGGGGGATCTGAGACAAATGGGGAGTTCTAGAACCACCTATGGTTTATGTCATTGTTTCCCAACCCAGTCCTCGGGGATCCCACAGATCCCCAAACTAGGAGGGAGCAAAACCGTGGACTGTCTGGGGCCCTCAAGGACCGGGTTGGGGAAGCGCTGGTTTCTGCAGTTGAATGGTAGCGTATGTAACCCACTTAAAACCATAAATGATATGAATTTGAATAGGAAATATAGCTAAATAGTCACTGACAAAACTAGAAAATAATTTTTGAAATTGAGTGTTTTTCAAACTTTGCTTTCATCAGAGTCCTCCATTTGCAGCAATTGCAGCCTTGTAGGCCTTGGGCATTCTAGGTGTCAGTTTGAGGTTATCTAGCAAGATTTCACCCCGTGCTTCCTGTAGCATCTTCCACAAGTTCAACTGGCTTGATGGGCACTTCTTACATACCATTCGGTCAAGCTGCTCCCATAATAGCTCAATAGCAATTGAGATCCGATGGAGTAGCCAGCACAGTCATTATACACAGAATGACGGCAGACTGCTTCTTCCCTAAATAGTTCTTGCATAGTTTGGAGCGGTGTTTGGGTCATCGTTCTATTGTAGGACAAAATTGTCTCCAGTTAAGCACGGTCCACAGGGTATGGCATGGAGTTGCAAAATGGAGTGATAGCCTTCCTTCTTCACAATCCCTTTTACCTCCTACGAATCTGCCACTTTTCCATCACCAAAGCAGCCCCAGACCATCACATTGCCCCCACCATGTTTGACGGATGTTTTTCATTTTGATCAGCGTCTCAAACGTTCTTTGTGATCTGAACACCTCAAACTTAGATGAATCTATCCACAGCACTTTATTCTTATCTTCCTCTGTCCAGTGTGTGTTCATTTGCCAATCTTTTTTCTTTTTATTGGTCATTGAGGTATGGCTTTTTCTTTGCACGTCTGCCTAGCAGGCCAGCATCCCAGAGTTACCTCTTCACTGTTGACGTCCTGACTGGTCTTTTGCGGGTATTATTTAATGAAGCTGCCAGTTGAAGACCTACGAGCTTCTCTGTTTCCCAAACTACATACTCTAATGCATTTATCCTCCCTCTCCCCTTTCTGCTGTGGTTAGGGCCAGTTTGCACTGCTCCATGAAGGCAGCAGTACACAGCACTGCACGAGATCTTCAGTTTCCTGGCAATTTCTCACATATTCTCAAATAGCCTTCATTTCTCAGAACAACAATAGACTGACGAGTTTCAGAAGAAAGTTCTTTGTTTCTGACCATTTTGAACTTGTAATCAAACTTGCAATTGCTGATGCTCCAGATACTGAACTAGTCCAAAGAAGGCCAGTTTTTTTTTCTTCTCTAATCAGCACAACAATATTCATCTGTGCTAACATAATTGCAAAAGGGTCTTCTAATGATCAATTAACCTTTTAAAATGATCAACTTGCATTAGCAAACGCAACATTCCACTGGAACACAGGACTAATTGTTGCTAATGGGCCTCTGTACACCTATGTGGATATTGCATCAAAAAAACGGCCATTTCCAGCTGTGTCATCTATGATATTTCTAAGTGACCCCAAACTTCTGAACGGTAATGTGTTTTTAGAATTACTTATCAGAATCGCTGTGTATAAACTTAGAAATCAGAAGTCTAATTGTGAAATGCTGGATGAGTTTTGGAAAATGTCATTAATGTGAATATAATTTGTCAGTGTGAACTTGGGTATATGGTAAGTTTAAATGAATACATAATTTGATTTGACTCGGGATGTGATCAGAGGCATATCAAATTGAAAGTCTAACAATATAGCCTCCAGGAGGAGCTCTTCTGCTTATAATCCTTCATACTCCACAGGTGATTCCCAAAGAGTAGAGATGCCAAGAATGGATGTGGAAGTAGTCAAGGGCCAGATGGTCGTCCTTCAAGCCTGGTACAGCCCCACATCCGACATCAGCAAGAACACTGTCATCTGGAACTTCATGGCCAACGACTCCAAGCAGGTGAGTATGAAGGTTATGTAGAAATGATGGATCAGGTTAAGTTGTCTGAAAATGGGACAGACCTTACCTCCAACATCTCAGGAGGCCAACCATCAACCATCATTTTCATAATTTTAGAGTAATTTTAATCCCAACTTAAAATGCTAACATTTTAGCAATATGTTAAGATTCTATGCCAGAATCTTAACAGCAGGAAGGGTATCTTGTATGGAGCTTCTATTTGTTTACACTGCTATGCCCTTTTGCTGTCAAATTCTGCTCAGGTTCATGCAAGACAAACAAATGTAAAATCTATTTCCCCAGGCTTTAGCCTCCAGGACAGACTCGCCTTATTCCATTTCAGGTATCCTTTTTTTGTGAGGGTCACTTTCTGTTAAATTTTTCAGAATTGTTCTATAAAGAGCAAAGGACCAAATTAGGGGCGTATATCATGAGGCCATTCTTAAAAGCAAGGTGGTTACATCCACCTTAAGCTAAATTGACATCTACATTTTCAGTGAATGAATAAATTTTTTTTCACTTGAATTCAAGCAGTAAAAAATATAAAACTGAATTGGTATACAATTACGTTCATGAAGATGTCTTGATCATCCGCTTTTATTTATTCTTAATTGCTTCAGTTAACATCTATTGAATTTCACTTTCTCTGTGGTATCTGCATCAGTGTTATGCAGGTTTCAAGCATCCACTTTAAAGTAGCATCGTGTAGCCATGGCATGGATACTGATGGTGAATTCCCACGTGACCCTGCTCTTCAGGTCATCTCGTATAGCTCTGGCCAGATCGGCATTGGGAGTCCGGAGTTCCGAAGTCGAGTGGGCTTTGCCCTCTCCATGCCCTCCACCAACCTGTCCATCTTCATCAACAACACGCAGGAGGCCGACACGGGCCGCTATCTCTGCAACGTCATCGTTCCGGGGGCCCCTGGCCTTTCTGGCGAGCTCAGCCTAAACGTCAAGGGTACCCTTCATGATTTTTAACATGTGCGGTTATGTGTCACTTAACACCCTTCCACACAATGTTCAATTCCCATATAAAGTCTCGTAAGGTTTAAATGGTTGAAATATCCTAATCACCTAATGGCACATGGGCGCAAGTGGCCATCGTGCACCACATATAGCCAGTGTGAACAAAGTGGCTGCACTGCCAGCCATATAACTGTGCAGAACATATCTAACTTAATACCTGTAACACCTGACAGTGATATGCATTTACTGTGTGTTTTAATGTTTACTCTGGCCATTTAGGCAGTCCGGGTACAGAATAGGTGCAGTATGCTGTATAGCAGTGGTTTTCAACCTGTGGGCCGCGGCCCCCTAGTGGGCCGCGACGGTATTGCAGGGGGGCCGCCAATTATTATTAACAGAAATTGTAATATTGTTAATATAATAAATGTCTAGTCAAAATCAAATAAATCATAATTTGATATATAATGAAATAAATTACCAGTTTATTCAATAAAGACAATTAACAGCCTTGCTTCCGAGTACTTAGTTAACCCAACACAAAAAGCGAGATCATTTAAATTCTTTTGCAGTGGGCCGCGGAAACATATGTGTTTGGCTGTGTGGGCCGTGAGTTAAAAAAGGTTGGGAACCACTGCTGTATAGGTTTGTATACAGTGCATATGATGTTTGCATAATGTCCATATCGCCTAACTTTGTCTTGGATAAAATGTAACCCAGACGTTAAGCAATACATATCTATCTTTAAACGGTACAACTTGACATTTCTCAGAAGATCCGTGGTATTAACTGTCTAAATTTATGTGAAATTTATACCCCCCCCCCCCCCCCCCCCAAGCTCTGACATTCAGGAAGGGGTTGATATTGTAACATCTTCATGTCCTTATGAATATTTGGCTCTCGGGAAGGGTTTTGAACATGTGAGGGTCCTATAATGATGGTAGTCATGATGCAGGTGCTCCTCTGCCTGGCCTCTCTAGTGCCCCCTTCGGTCCCTGTGTGCGAGATGACAGGCAGACCAGTGCTGAGGGGCAACGTGACCCTGAACTGCAGATCCACTGCTGGAAAGCCTGCACCTCACTACAAGTGGACCAAGAGCGCCCCATTGGCCGAGGTTTTCTTTTCACCCACACAAAGTGAGTATGCTTTCTTCCTCTGCATTCAGGTAGCATCCCTGCCTATTGTACCCCCCTCTCGTGGGTAAACGGGAGCATCTGGAAATCCTAAATACCCAACCAATCACAACCGGCCTAGGCTAGTGTTTCTCAATCCTGTTCCTGGATACCACCTGCCAGGTCAAACCCACACTGCTTCCAACCTACTACCTTCATTATAAGACCATTAAACACCTGATACTTAGGTCAGGCTGGAGTGAGAACCTCCTGGCTGGCAGGTGGTTCTCCAGGAGCAGGTATCATGATCAGGACCTGCTAAATTCTGGGCTGTTTTGACAGCAGTCATTTATACTGGCAATTTCCATTAAATGATTCATGGCAGCACAGACTATAAAGGTCAATTACAGATGTTTATTGAAATGGACAGGCAATCGGGGGGGCAGACACTTCTGATTCGATCATGGCGATGAAATGTAGTGAGCAGAGCCTCATTGCATGTTGATGTGATTCTGAGCTATATTCCAGACCTTGGCAATTGTCTGACCTGACCCCTCCTGAAGAGAGTGGATCGATGCGCTGCGGCTTCCCCGCGGCGGGGGCCTGGCTGGCTAGCTGACAGTGGGAGGGGTACATCCTCTGTGGGATTAGAAGCTCATTTTTCCTCTTTTGAAGGTCCATCGACAGTTTAATACGTTTCTGCTTCTGGCTTTTGATACCGGAGGGAGAGAGAAGCAAACAAAACCAATCCTTTAAAAAAAAGTCGTACGGGGAGACTTATTTTTTGCCACTCTAAAAATAAGATGTCTTGTACCTTTTTAGCTCTCATTAATCTTTTAGCTTTCTGTCCTCGGTGGTAGAAACTGGGCATATTGTTGGTCAGTTCCTGTCCCATGATCCTTCATACTCTCCCCATCTCATGCTCAGTGTCACTGTCGCTTTTGTTTTCTGTGTGCGCACAGCCCGGAGAGCCTGTCCTCAGCCCCTGCTTGTGCTGGGGTATCTGGGTAAGGGATTGTCAGCTCTCCGTCTTCCCATTATGCCTGTGACCACAGCTGCTCTTCTCGGTCATAGGGGTTAGCCAGGCCAGCCGTAAATCCCTTTCATCAGAACTTCTGCCAGGTGACCAGGTGACCTCCAGCTGTGCCCATAGACTGTTGCCCATTTTTCATATTGATTAGCCAAGCAGAAGAAACAGACGAGTATAAAACATGAAATTCAGTGGCTGTATGGCACGCCACTTATTAGTTAGTCTTAGTGCAGGGGTGGCCAGTCTTATCCGCAAAGGGCCGCTGTGTTTGCGGGTTTTCGCTGCAGCTCCCTAATTACACTAATTAGAGGACTGATTGGCTGAGGAGTCCTCACACCTGGGTTGGAACACCTGACCTAAAGGTTACCCCAAAAACCTGCATACACACCAGCCCTTTGCAGATGAGATTGGCCACCGCTGTCTTAGTGCCTGTGATTGTTGGTGTGAGACCCTATTAGAAGAGCCAATTTGGGAGCCTCACAATTGCAACTGGTCAGGCTAGTCAGGTTCTCTTTAGACGCTATGAAACAAACTTGCTGTGTGATTCATAGAGTGACTTGTGTGTCCTGCTTGCATTTAAGGGTTTATGTAGCTTAGTAATGGATGAACTTCTACTTGAAATCGCTTGTGTGTCCGAGTTACCTGTCCACCCTCTTTTTGTGTGGCTAGAAATGCTTTATACTCCAAGACCTAGGCCTGGCAAGATAATTACTTTTGTTGTACAACTGATTCAACTCCTTGCACCTCCAGGCAGATAGTCATTTTAACACCATTTTATGCCACTGATACAATATTGCAAATACACCCTTTGAAGGAGCAATAAACTTAGGAATATTGAGACATTGGGATGTCAATGTAAATATCCTTATAAAAAAAAAATAAACTGAAAAATAGATGAAATGGGCACTGAGGCTCTAACAAAAATTACCCTAAATATTAAACATTGGGGTATACACAGTCATTCATTCCTTAAGAGGAAAAATACTACCAACCCAGTTGTGCGGAATCTCAGGTCAGCGACCAAAATGACCCTCGATCGGTCATTGGCCAGGGAAAAGTAACAGGAAGTAAGAAATCAGTCTGACAAACTGTACGTAAGTGCCTTCTCTACCCTCAATGATCAGAATGATAAAATGGTTAGTGGATTTGAAGACAGTCCTGAAATACCAACATTTATGATTTCTTGTTAAAGGATTATATGGACTCCCAGATGGATACAAGCCAAAATGAAATGTTTGTACTGCAGCACCATACACTCGTGTGCATTTGAGGACAGTTTTGCTTTTTTAATTTTTCTATTTGAAATCCTTTTTGGTTGCATTCATTTTTTAATTATAACTAAGTCTAGTTATTTAGATTTGTCATTTTAGTTCTAGGGATAAATGGAAGGTTGTAGGACTTTGCTGGCCACTGCAAAATGTCATAATGCAGTGCAGTTGGTTGTTTCTATAGTTGAAGCACACTGTATGAGAGACGCAAGAGCAATCATTTCTTTAGCTAAACAGTATTTCAAAATGATAATGACAAGTGTGTTATTTCGGTTGGTTTCATAAGCAGCATTGTCATTTAGTTGCTGTTTTTCCGAATTTCAGTTTATGGAAGTGTTTTTAACAATATTGCACGATAAGCCAATGTAATTATCATGACAGGCTGACCAAGACCACAGTTTAAAGCGTCAGTATATGAAATAGTTTGTGGCTGCATGTGTGCTTCAGCTATCTGGTTGAGCTATACTTTGCTGGAACTGAAACCTCTTTAAAGCAGATCTCTGGAGTGTAGTATTGATGTTATCACAAAATTGACTTGTGAAGTGTCAAATCTGAAGCTTGCCCTGTTAAGGGAATCCTTTGGTCTCCTATGCTTAATTTAGTGTGAATCTTAAATGCTAAATATGAACTGGCATGGAGAGAATCACATGGTTCAGCTCCCTTGGACACCTGAAATTGCCCATCCCTGCTCCATGCCTAAAGAGGGTGCTATCGCACCAAATTCTGCTGGGCCAGGTGCTTCAGGTGCTGAAGGTGACTCACTGGGGTCTTCTTGCAGATGAGAAGCAGGGCACCCTGCGTCTCAGTAACCTCAGCCAAGCCATGTCCGGGAAGTATGTGTGCCGAGCCAGCAACACGGCTGGAGCCGAGAGCTGCTACATCAACCTGGAGGTGTCTGCCCGTAAGTACACGCGGTACACATGTCCACTTCTGATTGGATGACCAATTCAGATAGTTTAATCTTGTGCTGGTGTCATAGCAACCAATGCAGGTATGATTGCTGGAGCCGCTTTTGGATCCATCCTGGGCCTGGTGGCCATCATCATCTTCCTGGTTTTTATTGTGAGGAAGAAGAGGGGGGAAAATGATGAAGACATGGCTAATGAAATCAAGTAAGTACTTGGTCACATGCACAGTGGTGTGGTGTGTTTTTGTGACTTTCTCCTATATAAATAGTGATGTCCTGACCACCTTGTGGGAAAGAAGCTAAGGAGATCCAGAAATGTTTCACTGTCTGTAGCTGTGATATGGTGTAGCCTATATGGTGATCCTTGGTTACTGTGGACAGTTCCTCCATCAGCCTGTAGGTGCCAGACTGTCGTTTGCAGGCTTTTGCTCCACACTCTATACAGTAAAACCCTGTTATAGTGGACTCTCTTATAACAGAATATCATGTATAACGGATGAGGTCCGCTGGTCCCGGCCGTGCGCCTTTACGAACATGCAGAAAAAGCATCGGATATAGCGGACTCGCTTATAACGGACAAACAATTTGGTCCCCAGGGCCGCTTTTAGCTGTAGTTTTATTCGGCTATAACGGACATGCGCATCAGTAGTTATTTTCAAAATGGCTGAAGTCTGCTACGAAGCGTCATTCTATTTAAAATGTGAAATCCGTTCCTTTAATTGAAACAAAGAAAATGCAAGCGGATATTGTACGTCACTATGGTATAAGTAAATCTACGGCTAGTGACATCTAGAGTAACCGTGAGAAGTACAAGTACGAGAATTTGCGTACAGTACGACATGCTTTAGAACAGTGGTTTTCAACCTGTGGGCCGCGGCCCCCTAGTGGGCCGCGACGGTATTGCAGGGGGGCCGGCAATTATTATTAATAGAAATTGTAATATTGTTAATATAATAAAAAATGTCTAGTCAAAATCAAAAATCAATTTGATATATAATTAAATAAATTACCAGTTTATTCAATAAAGACAATTA